CCTGCCCCAGACGTTTACAGACTTCAGGGTACCTAGTAGAGCTGTGTACTGGAATTAGTCCTCCCAGATGCCCAGGTCCCCCAGGGAAACCTGCTAGCATGGCGTCACCTAGGGGGACACTCCAAGAAGTGTGGGAGGATCCAGGTAGGGGCCACAATGGGAGCCTGAAGTGGAAGAGGGACCCAGCTCCTGGGCCCTCAGCACATGATGGCCATGTGTGAGCAGGGAGGGGGCACTGTAGGGACCTCCCGAAGTGACCTTGCTCTGAGGGTCTCCACTGTGACAGAGGCATGAGGGCAGTCACCTGACACCTCAGACCTGAGTGCTACACTGGGGCACTGGTGAGGACATGGAACTGTCACCTGACCTCTGGGTGCCTATGAAGAACAAAGAGGTGAAAGCCCGGATGAGGACAGTCAACTGTCATGCCAGCTCTAGGAGCCTGCCATGGAGAAGAGGCATGAGATCCCGGTAGGCACATTCAGCTGTTACCTCCACTCTGGGTACCTACAATGAGGCACAAGCTTGAGGGACCAGGTGAAGACAGTCACTTGTCACCTTATCTCTGGGTGAATACATTGTGACACAGACCTTAGGGCCTCGCTGAATCGAGACAGGTGCCACCTCAGCTCTGGGGCCCTACAATGGGGAACAAGGATGACAAACCTGGTGAAGAAAGACATCTGTCACCTCCTATCTGTGTGCTTACACTGGGGCAGGTGCAGCAGGTCCCAGGTGAGGAAAGACACCTGTCACCTCAGCTCTGGGTGGTGGCATTGGTGCTGAGGTATATATAAGGGCTTTCAACTGGTATGAAATCTCTACACTGGGACAGAGAAGGAGGGCCATGTGAGGACAGCCAACAGTCTCCTCAGCTCTGGTGCCTACACCAGCGTAGAGGCACTGGGTCCAGGCTTTGACTTGCAACTAACATTTAACTTCTGGATGCCCAGACTAGGGCGAGGCTTAAGGGCCCAGGAGTGGAGAGTCACCTTTCACATCAGCTATTGATGCCTAACCTCGAGTAGGGACATGAGGGACAGATGAGAGTATTCAACTGTTACCTCAGATCTGGGTCCCTACCCTGAGGCAGAGCATGAGGACCCAAGACACACACAAGTAACACTTCAGTGATGGGAGCTATACTGGGGCAGAGACACGAGGGCACGCAAATGCCACCTCAGCTCTGTGTAGCCGCACAAGTCAGAGACATTAGGGCCCAGGTGACAGCATCAACTGAAAGCCCCGATACTGATCTCTACACCAGAAAGGAGAGTGAGGGACCAGGCAGAGACATAAGGACCCAATTGGAGACCATCAACTATCACTTCACACTGGGTGCCTGCACAGGGGCAGACATGAAAGCCCAGCCCAGGTGAGGACAGTCAACTGTGAAAGCCAGATCTTAGTGCCTACACGAGAAAGGGGAATGAAAAGCCATTGAGACATTCAGCCGTCACTTCAGCTCTTCAGTAGGGGTCATTAAATGTAGACAGGGGCATGAAGGACTAAGTGGGGGAAGTCAACTGTCACCTCAGCTCTAGACCCCTACACTGCGGCAGAGATGGCCTCAGATGAGGGCATTCAATTGTCACCTGAAATTTGGTTGCCTAATTTAGGGTAGAGGCAAGAGGCTCCAGGTGAAGACAGTCGGCTGTCACTTGAGCTCTGGGTGCCTACACTGAACACAGATTTGAGGGCCACCATCTGTCACCTCAGCTCTGGGTGCCCACTCTGCGAAGGACGTACCTGCTCTGGGGCAGAAGCACGCAGGCCCATATGATTACCATCAACTGACAACCCAACAGTTGGTGTCTACACTGAGAGAGGGGAATGAGGGATTGGTTGATGGCATCAACTGTCACCTCAGGTCTGGGTGCCTCCACTGAGGCAGAGACATGAGGACCCAAGGAAAACCAGTCAACTGGCACCTCAGCTATGGGAGCCACACTGGGACACAGGCGGAAGGGCCCAGAGGAGTCATTCTCTGCTACCTCACGCTGGTTTCCTGCACTGGGGCAGGGCCATGAGGGTCTAATCCTCTCTATGTTCCCATTGGAAAACAATCCCAGAAAAAATAAGGAACTTGTACGAGGCTGCCCCACGAGGCACGGCAGACCTGGAACAGAATTCCAGGCCTCTGGCCACTCACTCATGTGGTCACCTAGGGATGGTGGATGTGCCTCTGGACCATCAAGGGGACTCATTAAACCAACCTTTCCAAAATGCCTGCTGTGAATCAGATGTAAACACTGTCTGCTTAAGAACTACCAGTCTGGCAGATACCCCATGCCTGGCTGGAACTCACGAGTGTGAGTTACTGGGAGCTCCCTCTAGTGGGCACCACAAAGACCAGCATTGCAGGAAAGACCCCTGAGGGGGACATGGTGCCCAAGGTTCAGTACCCACAAATATGAGACAGTTTGGCAAATGGTCAGCATTATCTCTAATCCCAGATTCCATGACAAAGCCCAAATACCAACCCCTGCTGCGGCAGCAGTATCCTGAAACTGAATGCTGTGATCTTGTTAAGGAGAATGAGAGTGTTGTGTATGCCAGTGCAGAAGCTACTGGATATTAACCAAAAGCCGGTCACTGCTTGGCTCTATAAGGTTTCTCTGTATTTTGGATGCTTTCCTTAGGAAGGTTTCCATAAATGGGGTCGCCGGATCAAGGGGCACAGGTATTTCTGTGGTTCCCATGTCATCCAGCTGCTGCCCTTCAGAAAGATGGGTCCAGCTGACAGGTGTGGCCCCAGCTCTCCCAGTGCATTGGGCGCTGTCAGGGACGCCTTCCTGAGGGAGACTAGAGAAGCAGGCAGGAATTTTCCCCTCCCATTATCAGAGCAACATGGGATACTGTGAACAGGCTTCCATCTAGAAATCACACGATTCGAAAGGCATCAGTCAGAAGGCTGAGGCTCCATCTCATTGTCTCTGGCTCATCACATCCTGGTGTCTTCACATGTATGCTCATCTGTACCTCCAAGTTTCTAAAAGGCACATACAGCAACTTTAAAACAATTTCTAATTATGCCCTAGATCCATCCACCTCTTCCTAGGCTTCAGAAATCTGACCGCAGGGGGTGAAAGAGCTGAAGGGATCAAGAAGTACAAATTGGGGCCGGCCGAGTGGCACAATGGTTAAGAACTGGTTTGGGACACCAGAGGGCCCCGGTTCGGATCCGACATATGAGGGCCAGTGACACTGCCCTCTACAGCTAAGATGCTGAACAACAGCTCAACTTGGAGCTGGGCTGCCGTGAGTCGCCGGTGACGGCGTAGGCTGCAGCCCCTGTGGCAGTGGGTTGCCATGGGCTACCGTATGCAGCCAGCAGCCGCTGTGAGCGGCCGTCCAGAAGCTGGTGACTGATCTGCCTCTCCCGGGAAGAGCGCAATGATGGTGCCAACTTGGGCCAGTGAAGCAACGTCCTGCACAACTAGACTGAAGAACAAAACGACAGCAACTTGTCTGTTCTCCTTCCCCCAATTCCCCAGTGCTGATCCCATCCCCCCAATATCCCAATAAAAATCTTAAAAAAAAAAAAGTACAAATTGGGGCCGGCCAAGCGGCTCAGTTGGTGAAGCATTGGCTTAAGAGCGCGAGCTCTGAGCAACAGGGTGCCAGTTCGATTCCCACATAGGCCAGTGACGCTGAGCCTGAGATGAGCTGTCACTGAGCTGCCAGCAGGTGACAGGATGGCTCAGCTGGTGTAACAACAAGATTGCCTGTTCGATGGTGGGCTACCTATGCCCAACCCGGAACTAAGACTGAACTTGGCACCTTGAGCTGAGTTGCCTCCCAGATGGCTCAGTGGATAGAGCGTGTGCTCTTAACAACAAGGCTGCCAGGTTTGACTCCCGCATGGGATGGTGGCTACGCCCAACCGCAACTAAGATTGAACACAGCACCTTGAGCTTAGAGGCCAGGAGCTGCAGATAGGCAGCCAGATGGCGACTGGCGCCCTCTACAACGAAGACTGAAGAACAACAACTTGACTGGTCCCCTCCCCAATTCCCCAACACTGTTCTCCTCCCCCAATTCCCCAATAAAATCTTTTTTTAAAAAAAAAAAGAAAGAAATACAAATTGGTAGTTGTTTTTTTTTAAGATTTTTTTTTCATTGGGAAATTGGGGGATGGGAACAGTGCTGGAGAATTGGGGGAAGGGGAACAGTGCTGGAGAATTGGGGGAAGGGGAACAGACAAGTTGCTGTTGTTTTTTTTTGTTCTTCAGTCTAGTTGTGGAGGACGTTGCTTCACTGGCCCAAGTTGGCACCATCATTGCGCTCTTCCTGGGCGAGGCAGCTCAATCGCCGGCTTCTGGACGGCCGCTCACAGCAGCTGCTGGCTACACACAGCAGCTGCTGGCTACACACAGTAGCCCATAGCAACCCACTGCCACAGGGGCTGCAGACTACGCCGTCGCTGGCGACTCACAGCAGCCCAGCTCCAGGTTGAGCTGTTGTTCAGCATCTTAGCTGTGGAGGGCAGTGTCACTGGCCCTCATATGTGGGATCCGAACCGGGGCCCTCTGGCGTCCCAAGCCAGTTCTTAACCAACGCGCCCCTCGGCCGGCCCCAAATTGGTAGTTTTAAAAATAGTCACCACAAGGATGTAAAGTACTGTGTAGGGAATATAGTCAATAATATTGTAATAGCTATGTATGGTGACAGGTGGGTACTAAACTAATTCAGGAATCACTTTGTAAATTATATAAATGTCTAACCACTATGCTGTACGCCTGAAATTAATGTAAAATAATATTGAATGTCAACTGTAATTGGGGAAAAAAAACTTCAAAAAAAAAAGAAATTTGATAATAGGGCACCTACCTAACCCCAGCCCTCCAAGTTTAGGAAGCTGGAACCTCCCACCAAACAGGATTCTGATGGGAGACTTCTGGGGCGGGACATACGTGGGGTCAGGGGTGGGGCCAGATCCGCCTGAGCATACGTCAGAGGCGGGGTGACGCGGCCCCTCCCATTCAGCGGCTGGAGCAAAAAGTGAAGGCGGGGTTGCAGGGCCAGGGGCGGGGCCTTCGCTGGTCCCCCCTAACCTGGGGTTCTGAGAGGCACAGCCCTAGGCCAAAGCCGGGGTGGTGCTGGCAGGCTGTGGCCCCGCCCCGGGCCGCCATTGCCGGGCCTGTGGGGCTGAATTGCGGTAGCTCTCTCCTCCCCTCGTGGAGCAGAGCTGGGCGGCAGGCCTGACAGGGCTGCCCCCGACTGAGCTCGTATCTCCTACGGCCAGGCAAGTCTCCGTCCAGCCCAGCCCGCGTCGCTGTCCCCCGGGCACGGAGGGACGTCCTGAGCTCAGAGCTTCACACTGGAGGGGCCCATGTCCGAAAGAACCATTTCCTAGCCCCAGAGGCTCCCGTGGACACAATCGATCGTGAGCGAACGGGTTTCTGAGGCTTCTGCTGTCTGGACAGGGCTTCTCTCCGCATTCCCGAAGAGCCTAGCCAGGTGTTTGGACGAGCGAGTTGGTGCACGGATCGCGCCCATCCCGCAGCAGCGGCCCAGCATTGGCTGATCCTTGACCCCCACCCAAACCTGCTCTTCTGCTTTGCTGCCTCCAGAGCGCACGGTCCCCAAACTGTGCACCTGCCGGCGGCCCGAACCCAGCGGGAGAAGCGGACATGAGGTTGGCAGGTGGGTGGCTTCCACAGTGAACCGGAGGGATTTGGAAAACGGACCCAGCTGGAGGCCCAGGTGTCCAGAGATCTGTGCCTGGAGGGTCCCAGGTGGACCACTGGGTTTGCTTTGGGAAACGGAGGACTCTGCACAAGCACTATTTCTATGACCTTGAACAAATCTTTTAACTTCTGAAGATCTCAGCTCCCCAAGCTGTGAGATGAGGATTGGGATAGTCAGTTTCTCCCAACTCAGATAACTGTCCGCTGTTTGGAAAATGAGTTGTGGGAGAGAGGTTCCAGGGAGCATTGGGGCTGGATGGAGAGGGGCAGGGTGCGGAAGCCGTGGCCTTAGAGGAGAAACTGACTAAAGTGGCTGTGGGGTTGGATATGAACCCGGTGCTAGCCCGGGTTCATATCCAACCCCGCAGCTGGACACCGAAGATGAAGATGGCTTGGGGAGGGACAGCTTGGGGGTGGAGAGCAGAACTCAAAAATTGGAGTTCAGACCTGCTAAGATTGCAGCATTGTAAATATATTCCAGTGGAGCGGGCTAATAAGGAACTGACTGGGAGGGTGTAGCCTCAAGGCTGAGGCAAGAAAATAGAGTCACTGCTCCCTGAGAGTTCATTCAAGGCCAGGAGTAGATAAGAGCACCTATAGGCAGGTTAGAAGGAGGAGAGTAGAGTATAGGCAGAGAAGGCAGCCTGGGACAGAAAAGTCTAGCTTTGCAGGGGAGGGTACAGGAGGACGACCCAAGCAGGGAGGACGAGGAGTGTCCAGACAGGGTCAGAGTGTGCTGTCCTGGAAGCCAGCGGACAATTGTTTCCAACAGGAGGGCCTGGGCAGGTAACGGAGAGGTCAAGGAGGATCAGGGCTGACAGGCGACCCGGGGACTTGACACCAAGAAGGTCATAGGGTGGCCTTGGCAACAAGCTGTTTTGGTGGGGTGATGGAGGCAGTGCCAGGTTGGAGTAGGTTGAGAGAGAGTGGAAGGTGAGATTATGGAAAGAGCCAGCGGAGGTGACTTTGGAGGCGCTGACGGAAAAGAGGAAGGGAGGGGAGAGAGATCAGCGCATGGAATGTGATTCTGAAGGAGGGTTTTTCCTTCTGTGCTTTCTTACGAGGGGGCATGTTGAAAATAGAAGAGAAAGACTAAGATGGAATGATGGCTGTTACAAGAAACCTGAGCAGGGAGGAGAGCTCGGGGTCCAGCTCACAGCAGGTGACTGGCCTCGAAAGGAGTAGGGTCCTCCTCCTATGTCATAACAGGAAAAAAAGAGGACGGGGTGGGTGGGACACAAATACATCGGCAGCCTCAGAGGCAGGAAGTTAGGGGGCTCCCGAGGGAGTGCTGGGGCCCTCTTGAGCAGTGAGTTCAGGAAGGCCCCTCCACACTTGCCAGGGAGAACCAAGCCGAGAGCCTTGGAGTTGGAACTCAGATTCCCCCTCTCCGGCCTGGTGGATGGCGACAGGTCTCCCCCTTCCTGTCCTCTGGTCACTTCTTCCCAAGTGGACGGAGAGATCTGGTCATGAGAGGGTTACTTGGACCTCACCAGCATCTGAGTGGCCTTGCCTTGTCTGTCCTGCCTCCAGGCCCCCTCCGAATCGTGGCCCTGGTTGTCACTGTGGGCCTCACCTGGATCGTAGTGAGCATCCTCCTGGGTGGGCCTGGCCATGGCTTTCCTCGCATCCAGCAACTCTTCATCAGTAAGTGTGGGACTCTTCCTTGCCTCGCCGTGGAGATCATCAGGGCGGCCAGCTGGGCCTGCGGGCTGAAGCTCAGGGTGGGGGTGGGCTTTCTGTCTCTCCATGGCAGGCCACGTCTAGCTGCCCTCAGTCTGTCTCCTGGCACCCAGCACAGCCTTTCCCCTACCACCCAGTGGATTCAGCCGGGAAAGCCAATCCCCACTGATTAGAATTCTGCGCCCAGTTGGAGTCGGTGGGGCCCAAGTGAGGGGCAGGGGGACATCTGCTAAACATTGAGGTTGATGTCCTGGTCGCTCCTTGCCGGCTTTCCACTGAGCTCTGAGATGGGGAGGGGACTCTACACCCATCACTGGTGACGGGTCACCTAGGTGCTGTTCCAGTTCCAGTTTATCCTTTTCCTGGAGCAGGGAGCTTTGCATCTGAACATCATTTAGACTTGAGCAGAAACATGCCAAGGTCAGCCTGGCTTAGCCCTTGGCCCTTGAGCCTGGTGCCCCACCACCTTGACTTCATGGTGTAGTGCCAGGCTGCCGTGCTGCAGGCCCCAGGGGGCCTCCTTGCTAACAGAAACAATTCTCTACCCACAGGCCCAGAGAACTCAGTGACGGCAGGTAAGGCTCCCGTCACCTCCCTGCTCATCCCCTGGGCCCCTCATACTACTTTTGTGACACCCCTGCCTGCCCCTAGTCCCCCAGGGTTTCTATTCTCCATTTATCCCTCCCCAAACCAGCTATCACAGCCTGCTAGAGGTGGTTACATGGTGTGAACAGAGAAAGCAAGTAACCTGCTTCCAGAATATACTGGTGGGACAGGCATATATAGATATTCCCATTCCAAAAGGGAGATACTGGAAGGAATAAAGGGGTCACCAGTCCCAAACAAGCCCGAAACCCAGCGGGGCAAATTCCATTAGGTTTTGAGGCCTGAGAAAAATATTCTGTGGCCCAATACTCTGTCCTCTGGGCCTACCGGTTCAGGGGGATGGTGCTTTTTGGAATGGAGGGGATGGTCCTACCCTCTGGGCCTGTGCAGCCACCATTCTTCGCTCAGAGTCACCCTTCCTTCCATCCTTTCTCTGATCCTTTCAGTCCAGGCCGGCAGTGTTTCTGGTGTTATAAAATTCTCAAAAACCTGGTTGGTCCCCTGTGCAGTTCATTAGTGTTTATCTAAGCTATGAGACAAGAGGGTCCTCCAGGTCTTCCCTGGATAACCCCATCTCTAGGCCCAGCTTCCACTGACATGGTTGAGTGCATCCACAAGTCACACAGCTCCGCTCTCTAGTGAACAATTGTCTGGCCACCCTCTTGGGTTCTCTCCAGAGCATGCTTTCTCACTTTTTGTAAAATGATTAGGCTTAGAATTTTCCAAATCTTCATGTTCTGGTTCCTTTATATTTAACAATTCCTTTCTCTCTGTTCTCTCCTTTCACAACTTACTGTGAGATGGTCCCAGGGAAACCAGACTGTGCCCTCAACACTTTGCTTGGAAATCTCCTCAGTGAAATACCCCAGTTCAGCATTTACAAGTTCTACCTTCCCCAAAACAAGAGAACACAATTCAGCCAAGCTCTTTGCCACTTTATGACAAGGATGGCCTTTCCCATTTCCACCTGCGATCTCACAAGAACAGCCTTTCACATGCACATTTGCAGCAACATTCTGGTCATCATACATATGTATTCTCCAGGATGGTAGAAGCTTTCTCTAGTGCTCTGCTCTCTTTTTTCTGAGCCCTCACCACAATCACCTTTAACGTCCATATTTCTACCAGTAGTCTCTTCAAGGCAATCTGGGCCTTTTCTTAAATGCACCTCAAAATTCATCAGCCTCTACTCATTACTCAGTTCCACAGCCCCATCCACATTTTTAGGGATTTGTTACAGCAGCGCCCCAATTCCTGGTATCAAAATGTATCGATTTCCTGGGGCTGCCATGCCCTCCGAAGGCTCTAGACCAGGGGTCAGCAAATTGCCACTCGCAAGCCACATGCGGCTCTTTGGGTACGTTCCTTCTCAAAAGTTTGCCAACCCCTGGAAGAGCCAATTCTGTCCCTCACAACAATTTAAAAATTATTCGAGAGCTGTAGATATATTTTTACATAATCACAATTATGTGAATATCCTTTAAAATTTTTATAAACGAAACTATGATAGTTTTATTTTCATTTTCAATTTTACTGCAGAGCCACATGTACATACCCAAAAAGCCGCATGTGGCTTGCGAGCCGTAGTTTGCCGACCCCTGGCGTCTCTTCCATCTCAAAAGTTTGCCGACCCCTGCTCTAGGGGAAGGTCCTTCCTGCCTCTTCCATCTTCTGGTGGGCCCACGCGTCCCTTGGCTCGTGGCCACATCACTCCAGTCTGTGCCCCTGTCTTCACGTGTCCTTCTCCATGTCTGTGTCTTCTCTTCTCTATAAGGATACTTGTCATTGAATTTATGGCTACCCTACCCCAGAATGATCTCATTTGAGCGAATTATATCTTCAATGACCCTATTTCCAAATAGGGTGACATTATGAGGTACTGGGATTTAGAACTTCAACAAATCTTTTGTGGGGACACAATTCAACCTGTGACAGAGGCCATCCTCCTCCTGTCCTCCCACCTCCGCCCTGTGAGAATCAGTTGCTCAGTTCAGCAATCTGTCTGGCTGTGCCCTAATCTATGTAGTTGCCCTCCCAGCTGCTCCTTCTTTCTCTTCTCCCACCAGTGGCAGAGAAGCCTCCCTGAGGTCCCTGTCATCTTGCCCTGAGGCCAGCCCCAGCAGATAGAGTGTCTGTGCAAATGTCCCTGTCCTTGGCCTGAGCCATGGACCCTCCCCACACTGGTCCCCTGCTATGTGGTCACTCATTCCTCCCTGTGGGCTGGTCCTGACCTCCCCTCTCAGACCTTGGGTGACCCCCGCTGTCCCCGCCCAGAGCCACGGGCCAGGAAGTACAAGTGCGGCCTGCCCCAGCCATGTCCTGAAGAGCACCTGGCCTTCCGCATGGTCAGCGGCGCTGCCAATGTCATCGGACCTAAGATCTGCCTTGAGGACAAGATGTGAGCCCCTGGGGTGCACAGGGGAAGGTGGGGGAGGGAATGGGGGTTGGAAGCTGGGTCTGCAAGGGCCAAGGGAGGGAGAGCAGAGCAGATGTGCCACTTGAGGGCTTTGTCCCCCTGCAGGCTCATGAGCAGTGTCAAGGACAACGTGGGCCGTGGACTGAACATTGCCCTGGTGAACGGTGAGTCCCGGTGATGGGGGGTCAGTTCGGGCCAGGAAACTAGAGCCCTGCTGTGACCTGCTGCCTTCCTCCGTGACCTGCTTCTCATTCGGGTGTTTGTTTGGCTCTCCCCGCCCCTCAGAAATTCGCAGGAAGGTGGGTCAGGGGTCTGTGCTAGCTGAAGGCTCCACATAAGTGACCGAATGAACGAAAGCATGGTAGCAGTAAAGAAATAGAAGCCTCCTGGAAGTTGAAGGGTGCTTCGTGGGGAGTTCCTGCAGGGCCTCAAATGCAAGACAGAAGCTCTGCAGCCTTGGGTGGGATGCAGCTATCTAAACAAGGGGCACAGTTGGCATGGATATGGGGGGTTTTTTGAAAAGCTTCCAGAAGGGCTGCACCCCGTGACCATGCCATGTGGTGAACCTAGTCTGGGGGAACCCAGGTGGTAGGGTGGAGCTCCCTGGCAACTTGCCCAGCAGGATTCCATCTCCCACTTGACCTAGGGGTCAGCGGTGAGCTCATCGAGGCCCGGGCCTTCGACATGTGGGCAGGAGGTGAGTGGATGCCATGGCCTCCCAATTTTTGACTGTGCAGCATCGCAACTGGGTGTCCTTCCTATGAAAGGCTTCTCTCTCTCTCTCTGTCCATTCACTGGGGGCTTCTCAAGCACTTCGGTGGGTTTAGAAAAGGCAGGGGGAGGGACAGGTCATGGGGATGGCCCTGGCTTCTTAAACCCGTTTGTCCCTGTACTCACTTGCTGACCCTTGGTGAGGTGTGTCCCTGGCCGGATCCCTACTTTATGTGTCCTGGTTTGGAGGACAGGGGTTGGTGTAGGGGGTGCTCAGTGGTGCCTGATGCTCTGTGTTTAGTGGGACCTGTACCCCCAGATGTCAACGAGCTGCTGAAGTTTATCCGGCCACTGCACGAAGGCACCCTGGTGTTCGTGGCATCCTACGATGACCCAGCCACCAAGTAAGTGATTGCCAAGGCCAGCCTCAGCCTCGCTCTCTGATGGTGATGGCTCACATCTCTTCCTTCTGTACGGCAGGATGAATGAAGAGACCAGGAAGCTTTTCAGTGATCTGGGCAGCAAGAACGTCAAGGAACTGGCCTTCCGGGACAGCTGGGTGTTTGTGGGGGCCAAGGGTGTGCAGAACAAGAGCCCCTTTGAGCAGGTATGGGTGGAGAGCTTGGCACCTCTGCTTCCCAGCCCAGGGCAGCTGTCCTGCCCCTTCTGCCTGCATCCCGTGAGATCCCCTTCTGTTCATGCTGCAGCTTCCCTAAATCCTGCTCCGGCACCCCTACAGGAGGGGCAGCCCTCATCCCCTCCTGGTCTGCCTAGGGCGAGGCAGTAACTTTGACCTTCCCTGTCCTGTATGGATTTCACCCTAAAGTGTCTTTAAAGTGCAAAGCTTTCACATTGGCAAGACTCACAACTAAAAAACTTTTCTCCCAGACATCTTCAGGATGCTTGGTCCTGTCCCATCCTCCCATAACCCAGCACCCCAATTCACACTGCATGCCCTTCTCCCACCAGCCCTAGCTGCCATTGGCTGGCTGCTCCTCTGGGGCCACATGTGTCAGGCCCTGTGGGAGAGGCTGGCAAGCCCCAGATGCCATCCTTATCTTTGGGAGGCTCCTAGCCCTGTGAAAACCATGGTGTCCCCAAGCCCTGCTTCGCACTGCAGGACAAGACAAACAGGCTGTTACAGTGGTTTCTAGAAGGCTCTGGCTACCAACAGAGCAGCTTAGCCCGCAAAGAAGAAGCACTCCCTCTGACCTTGCTCTTCCAGCAGCTCCGTGTGGGCTGGGTGGGTAAAGGCGGAGACACACACATACTCCCTCCTTACCTTCCTGGTATGTGCCAGGCCCACAGAAGTGCAGAGAAGTTGACCTCCCAACACACACACACTCCACCTGTGATGGGGGGCAGGCCAGTGCAGCTATTGCCATTTTTAGATGAGAAAATCCAGGCGCTGGAACAGACAGAGGGGGCGAGTGCCATGAGAGTGCACAGCTGGTTGACCAGCACAAGGCAACTGAAAGCTCTGTCTGTCCCCTGTGCCTGAGGGCTGAAGCTGTGACTTCCTGCCCCCCCAACCCCGCAGCACGTGAAGAACAGTAAGCACACCAATAAGTACGAAGGCTGGCCCGAGGCGCTGGAGATGGAAGGCTGTATCCCGAGGAAGACCACGGCCAGCTAGCCGGCCGAGCATGAGGACCAGGCTGAGGAAGGCTGTGTGTGCCTGACCCTGGAGGTGGCGGCAGCGGCACCAGCACAGGGCCGAGGCCCGACACCACACCCGGCCAGGGGTGCACTCTTGCCCCAACACATCAGGGCTCCAAGGTGGTGACTGGTGACTGGGGCGTGACTGGTGGGGGAGGGGGGGGAGGGAGTGGCTACAAGGGCCAGCCCCATCGTGCTCTGTCAGGGGAGCCCAGGAGCCCATCTTCTTTTCCTAAAGCCTCCTTCCCTGGTCAGCCCCCCACACAATTCCCAAGCACCTCCAGCCACAGGGCCCTGGGTGCTCGCCCCCTCACTGCATAGCCAGCTGGTTGAGGCACCTACTAGAACAGTGGTTCTCAACCTTTCACAGGGGTCGCCTAAGACCATCGGAAAACACATATTTTCGATGGTCTTAGGAACCGAGACACCGCTCCTCTATCCGTCTCCAGGCCCACATGCAGATACGCCCACAGACGAGTACCCGGCGACCCCTGGGAAAGGGTCGTTCAACCCCCAAAGGAGTCGCGACCCACAGGTTGAGAACCACTGTTCTAGAACCTTTTCATCCCAGAGCTGCTTACTGCTCTGCAGGCTAGTCCTGTTTCCAGTGTGATTCCTTTTGGTGAGCCACACCTGTGAAAGCCATGGTGTCCCCATGCCAGCTGAAGCAGGGGACCTGGCGGCCTCCTGCCCTGCTCTCTGCAGGAAGGGACGGCCTTGGAGTCTGGCTGGCCTGGGCGGTAAGGTAGCAAGCATGATCAAGGTCCCTAGTGCAGTGGGTGGTGGTCCTGTTTGTCAGATGATCCGCCTCCTAGATGAATTCTTAATAAATTGGTACCCCCAGTGGAATGAAGTGCATTCAGTGCGGAGTCAGGGGTAGCATTGTCCTGGGGGGGAGGGGGACATGTCCCAGAGACTCAGCCGAACTGTCCCCCTAAGGCTGTGGCCTTAGCAGACAGCCTTTGTCTCCAGGGCTCCTGCCACTGGGCTGAGCTGTGACTCATGGGTGAGTGGAGCAGCTCCCCAGCTGGCAGCCGGATCCCTTGCCTGGAAGAGTCCTGTTCAATGGGGTCACAGGAAACCCACCGACTCCCTGGGATACAGCACAGGCCTGTAAGGACACCGGTGAGGATTAAAACCAGTCCGAGTGCCTCCCCACTACACCCAGCCTCCCTGGAGAGCTAGTGTGTCTTTCTGCAGCACTCAACTTTGGATGCCTTTGAACTCAGGTCTGTGAAGGGCCAAGTACAGGGGCTATTTGACATTTCTCACAGATAACAGTTATACTTCCCTTCATTGATCAAGAACCAGCAAGAAACTGTTAGGAGTTTTGCTAGAATACCACATCCGGGGGGCGCAGAAGTGGTCTGGGGTCAGAAAAAGGAGAGAAGGCATTTTGGACTTCCTAGATGTGAAGAATCGGGGTGCCAGCCCGGCAGCCTCGAGAGGGCCGTGGCCAGGGTGATGATAGACGTACGTACGAGTCCTGCTCTGGAGGCGGGCTTCCTGAGCCTCTGCCTTCTAGGAGTTCAGTGCTGCCAGAGTAGAAGCACAGTGTCGAGAAACAAAAGATTTAAGGAGCAGGCAGAAGAGGGATGGGAGGCCCTGGGGATAGCCCAGGAGGGAGAGGCTTTGGTTGTGATGCCAAGACCGGGAAGGGTCAGGGAAGCGGAGACACAAGGAGGGCCCAGGCTGCTTGCCCGGGAGATGGTGATCATGGAAGCTGACACCCAGCCTGACCCTGTGCCAAGCACTTTACATGTGAGCAGAAAGTACAGAGAGTTCCCACATACATACCCAACCCCCACTTATATCACCCAAAGCCCAAAGTTGACATTAGGGTTCCCTCTTGTGTCGGACAGTCTGTGGGTATGACCAATGTAGTATAATGATGTGTATCTACCATTATAGAATCATACATATGTTCGTTTTTTAAACCTTTTCTTATAGAAAATTTCAAGCATTCTTCAAAGTAGAATAGTATAAGTGAACCCCAGTGTATCCATTAGGCTACCACAGTGATCAAATGCAACAGAACCTCATTGAAGGTCTGTATTACAAGACTGGGAGGCATGTAGGCCCCACTGTACCTCTCAACTGCTGTGACTGCCTGACCCCCAAGTGCCCACCCTGGGCCAGGCACCGTTACGTGCTGGCAATGTGGGAGTGAGCCCCAGTGATGGCCCCTAACTCCTCACGAGGCTGTGCCCTCACTGGGGATCGCCAGAGTCACACGGATGGAAACAGCGAGCCAGATTTATCCCCCATGGCCTCACACACGTTCGGAAGCTGATGGTGGCGTGGAGCAGTCTGCCTGACGTCCCAAAGTGAAGGTCAAGCTTTATCCTGCAGTCCTCTGCCAGGATGTCCCCCAACACCCCCACCCCCACCCTGCCCTTTAGGTGTTACGACTCCTCGGTTACAAGTGCCAGAATCCCGACTCAAAGTAGCATAAGCAAACATAAGTAAGTCATGACAGGAGGGAGACTTATTGTTCCTGTGAGGCACCCCAAAGCTCCCAGTGATTCTAGCTCCAATAATGTCATTAGGACAGGGGCTTTCTCCGTCTCTTGGATCTGCTTTTCTCTGTATGATTCCTTTTCAAATATGCTGTCTCCCCCATGTATGGGCAATAATAGTAGAGATCCCAATTTAGGTCCCCTCAGCCAAAAAAAAGGTCCCACCTTCCCAATAGTGCCAGTACAAGTCCCTGGGGACTAACTCCCATTGGTCCAGACTGGATTATGGGTTTATCTTTGCATCAGTCTGTGTGGCTCTGACTGGCTACACCTGGGCATGTGCCCTCCCCAGAGGCCACAGTTCGGGGTCATCCACGTGCAAACTTTGTGTACCAAGAGTGGACGAGAGATGGTTCTCCAAAGGAAAGAGGTGCTGTAACCTGATGCTGGGCAGGCACTATACTTTCCTGTAAATACCAAATGCATCCCATCCTGTGCTTGCATAGAATATGCCTTCCCTGCCTCCTTATTTACCACATAGTATTCCTGGAGGCATCTGCCTGGACAGCAGAGGGTAAGCATTCCTCTCATGCTCACCACTGTGACCCTATTACATAATACGGTGGCAGGTCTCCCATATGAAGGGCATTTATGTTGTTTTGGCTGTGACTATCATGTTCAGTCTGTTGTCTCAATCTAGATGACTTTTCTTTTGAAACTAGGTATCCTTGACTTTTCTGTTGAGTCCTTCCTCCTCTTCTGGGGTAAATTATTAATTCCTTAAATAAACTACGAACATTCTCTTGCCTTTAATTTAGCTATCCCTTTTCCCTGCAAAGAAGGCCTCCAAATTCCCTCATGTCAGACACCCCAGCAGCCCACTCTGGCTTTTCAGGGAAGGCTGTAGTGATTGATGATAATGGGGAGCAGCCTTCTGACTGCATTTGCTCTCCTTGACCCCCGATACCAATTCCCATTCAGCTGTTATATAAAAACGCAGGTTTCCTCCAGGGGGCACATCTTTTAGGTTTCCCTTCCCTGGTTCTTCCCCTGGACACATTCCCCTCCTCCCCCGGGCCAGCTTTACCCTGTCCTGGGACAGCCCCACCCCCACCACCCTTTTGCAGACTGCAGTCTTCAATGCAGCATGTGCCAAGGCCAGCCGTCTCATTTGTGCCAGCCTGCTCCCATCAGGACCCCTCAACGCCATTTGAGAGGGACAGTGCCAAAGTTCCAGGACACCAGGTCCACAAACACAAATGGTTTATGCCTTACTGGTCGTTTGAGGCTAAAGAACAGCCTAGAGCTATGGCCTCTGAAGGTTTTTGATCACCGACATAAATCAAACCCTCTTGAGTATGCATCGCCACCATGTGTATATCTGCTTATGTATCATAAGCATGTACTAATCTGAACTTTATAAAACACACATATAAATTTTAAAATAAAATGTATTTAAATAAGTTTAAGTTAATAGATTTTTATTAAAATTACTAAAATTACTATTTATTTAAAAAGTTAAAAGTAGAGTTTTGGATTTTTTTTTTAAAACATTCTCAACGATGTGTCTTGCGCACCTCACGGGGGCAAGTACCTGCAACTTTAGGGACCAGTGGCCTCCATCACAGCCGTAGGAGGTTCTTCCCGAGCAGTGGGTAGCCACTGACCCACTGGCAGACTGAATGCAAATGCCCTTCGACTCTCCACTTGCTCACTGTCTTCCCTCACCACCTTTTTGCCCATCCTGATGCCAGGTATTTGCGCTCCTTTTCTGTGAAGCCTCCGGACCTTGCTGGTGGCGCCAAATAGTTTTGAAAGGTGAACAAGTCCACTGATGTTCCACAGTGTGCAAACGGACGCTCGGCCAATTCTTGAACGAAGAAAAGTGGAACTAGACCGAGCCTGGGACCCAGAGTCTGGGTTGGTCAGACTCAGCCCTCGGGTCCCCTGAGTCCGGGCATCCCAGCTCTGCTAACGGCTAAGCCTATGTCCCACTGCCCCCAGAGGTCGCAGAATGTTTGGGAATGACTGGGGCCCCTACCAGAAGCCGGTCACCCCAGCAGCGGTGATCACAGACGACTCCGAACCAAAGCTCGATCACCGCTGGGAGCCACGCCCAGCGACGACCAACTGCGACCCGGAAGCTGGCCAGTGTCGCGCGCCTGCGCCGGCTTTTCGCTCCCGGATACGTCACATCCGGTTGAAACCTGCCACAGCCGCGAGAGGTTAGCCGGCCGCGGTGGTGGAGGTGGAGCGAGCGCGTGAGGCGGGACTGAAGGCGGAGCCGAAGGCGGGGCCGAAGGCTAGTGGGGCGGGGCCCCGGCGGGCCGAGCTCGCAAGCGTCCGCCGGCCCGGCAGGCGCTGGCGCCAGCGCCGAGCTCCGGGGCTGTAGCGGCAGGTGAGGGCCTCGGGCCGGAAAGGGCGGGCGGAAAGCGGCCTCTGGCCCCGGCCCGGCTCCGTGCTCGCCCGGGCGGGCGGCGAGGCCCGGTGTGGAAGGTGTTGGTGAGGCCTGGGGCGGCCGCGGGGCCTGTGAATGACGTGAGGGCTCCCGCGCCGCAAGTCCGGGACCGCCAGGCGGGTCTCTGGTCTGTCAGTTGCGGGGCGGCAGCGCGAGCCCAGCAGCGGCGCGAGCCCGGCAGAGGCGCGCCTCCCCTTCCCTCCCTCCCTCCCTCCCGGGTTCGCAGCGAGCTCTGCTAGTGACCAATCCGAGAACTTCCCGACTCCCAGGTAGGGAGGAGCCCCGGGTCAGCACTGACACCTGCTCTAACACCGAACAGTCAGCTGGTGTGGAGAAAGCGGCCGGCCCAGGGTTCTCTTCCCTGCCTTGGGGTATATCTGTTCAAACTGTTCCAACCCTTCAAGCAGAAATGGTGTGGGATCTGGGCCAGACCCCTCTTGCCGTGACTCAAAGCCACCAGCTGTACTGGAAGGACAGGGTGAATGGCCTTTAGTCTCCTCTCCCTTCTGAACTGATTCACGCCACCCCGGTGGCTTAAGTCCCGTGCGCCTTCGTCTTTTCCCTGTGACTCCCCTCCACTTTGTTCCTCATACTCCCTCTGGTTTTCCTGCCTTCCTCTTCAGCGGTGGGACCCAAGGCTGGATCAAAGCCTCCAGGGTAAGTGACCCAAACTCCAAACCAGCAGAGGCCATGGCATCCCAGGGGGGTAGAGGGGAGACTTTCCCACAGATGAGCCTTTTGCTTACCCTGTCCACCTACTACTCCTGCTCCCCCGTTTCAGATGAGGGAGACCAGGGCCAAAGACTGATAGGCTCTAGAGAGACAGGGGCCTCTTCCAGGACTGGGACACTGCAGGACATGAGGCAACCAACAGTAGTGATGAAAAACCACTGTGACCCCATCCTAGTTGCCCTGGTAACCTCAGGTGATGTGACAATAGGGTGGTAGCCGCCCAAATTGAGAAGTAGGTGAACCTCCTCTTTCCACCCTGAGGCTGCCCACCCCCCTAGAAACATTCCAGGTCCCACTGGGAGTTCCAGGCTCTGGCAGGATTGCATGTGGGCATGGGGCGGAGTCCCTGGACTCCAAGCAAAGCCTCTCAGATGTGACACAGCGGCTGTAGGAGCTCAAATTCCCAGACTACAAGAGGTGTGGGAGCTCTGAGAAAAGGAGGAGAAGCCCCCCCCCAGCAGACATGTGGCCCTATCAGACCCCCTCCTGCTGCCCTTTCCAGCAACTTCCCTGGGGAGAGGGGACCTGCTCCCCTTCCCAGGACCCCAATCAACACTGCTGTCAGCAGGTAGGGTAGGCCAGGTAGCCACAGCTGCACTGTTCACAACTGCTTGTCAGTTGTGGACAACAGCCTTTGGCCTGATGGTCACCCACTGCCCACGCCACTTTGCCAGTTGTTTTCTGCCTGATGGATGACACTTAAACACCCTCACCTGCTCTCTGACGGCCTCTCAATCTGGCCTGAGCCCATCTTTCCCATCAGCGCCCTTTGCTCTCCTCGGGCTAGTCTCCTTGTCATCGCTGGGCAGCCTTTCAGAGATTTCATTCTGGTTGTGGCACTGCTCGATGTGGCTCCACTGTAGTGTGTCTTGAAGCTGGTGGGGAGCAGGCTAGTGGTGACAAGATTGGGAGTGACTCTCCCAAATCCCTTGATGTCAGGACATCTCCAGAGGGTCACCATGCTGGGGGCAAGCCCAGGGAGGTCAGCAGGTATAAGCAGGCTGACCAAGAACTCCTATTGGTGGGTGGCCCCTGTGGGTGAGGGATGGCAAGCTTACGGCAGCTGTGCTGGGGGAGGGGACAGCCAAATGGCGCTCAAGGGCCAGCACTAGGTATTGCCTTTTTGTTTCCAGGCTTGGGGCAGGGGGCCCTGCTGAGTCTCTCAGCAGTGAGCTTTCAGGTCCCCACGGTCCTGGGCTCACCACTGCTCACCCTTACCAGCCACCTCTCTGTGTCCCTTCTCTCCTCAGGAAGAGCTCTGCCATCAAGGAGGGCGGCACAGGGACAGGCCACATCCATGGACCCCTCTCAAGACAACCCAAAAGCACCAGCAGGGCTGCTCTCCTAAGCTGCAGAGGGCCTAGGAACACCATCCTCTGGGAAGAGCCATGGTGTTTAGGAGGGGCAGCTCCCAGTCATGGCCTGGCCTGGGAGGTGGCAGTGGTTATACAGCCTCCCTAGGCATGCTCAGGGCTGCCGTGCTGCTTGTCAGCCTACCGTGGGGGGCCCAGGGAGCAGCCTGTGCCAACGTCAGCATGGCCCTGGGCCATCGTGGGCCACTGCCAGGGGGCCGCTACTTGAGCATTGGGGACGGTTCTGTGGTGGAGTTCGAATTCCCAGAGAAGAGCGAGGGCATCATTGTGATCTCAAGCCAGTACCCGGGCCAGAGCAATGGGTCAGGGGCCAACCCCATGCTGAGAGTCACCTCCCTGGACACAGAGGTGCTGACCATCAAGAATGTGAGTGCCATAACCTGGGGCAACAGGGGCGGCTTTGTGGTGAGCATCCACTCAGGCCTGCCCGGGCAAGCCCCACTCCACATCCAGCTCATGGATCCTCATGAGACCCCACCTGTGCTGATCGAGGAGCGGAGAGATTTCTGCATCAAGGTCTTGCCGGCCGAAGAGGCCCCTGCCACCCGTGGCGCTGACCAGGTCCACTTCTCAGAGAACCCAATACTGTACCTGCTCCTGCCTCTTATCTTTGTCAACAAGTGTTCGTTCGGGTGCAAAGTGGAGCTTGAGGTTCTAAAGGGGCTCCTGCAGAGACCTCAGCCCATGCTGCTGGGCCTCCTGGGCCAGTTTCTAGTCATGCCCTTCTATGCTTTCCTGATGGCCAAAGTCTTCATGCTGCCCAAGGTCCTTGCTCTGGGCCTCATTATCACCTGCTCGTCGCCTGGCGGCGGGGGAAGCTACCTCTTCAGCCTCCTCCTGGGAGGGGATGTCACCCTGGCCATCTCTATGACTTTCATCTCCACAGTGGCTGCCACTTGCTTACTGCCACTGTCCTCAGCTGTCTACAGCCACCTGCTGAGCATCCACGAAACACTCCACGTGCCCATCTCCAAGATCCTGGGGAGCCTGCTGTTTGTCGCCATCCCCATCGCAGCAGGCGTGCTGATCAAGTCCAAGCTCCCCAAGCTCTCCCAGCTGTTGCTGCAAGTCATCAAGCCCTTCAGCTTCGTGCTGCTCCTGGGCGGCCTCTTCCTCGCCTACCGCATGGGGGTCTTCATCCTGGCAGATGTCAGGCTGCCCATCGTGCTGGTGGGCCTCACCGTGCCCCTGGTTGGCCTCCTGGTAGGCTACTGCCTGGCCATATGCCTAAAGCTGCCAGTGGCCCAACGGCGGACAGTCAGCATTGAGGTAGGGGTGCAGAACAGCCTACTGGCCTTGGCCATGCTGCAGCTGTCCCTCCGCCGCCTTCAAGCTGACTACGCCTCCCAGGCCCCCTTTATTGTAGCACTGAGTGGCACCTCAGAGATGCTGGCCTTGGTCATTGGCCACTTCATCTATAGCAGCCTGTGCCCAGTTCCCTGAGGCCCCTGGGTCAAGCTTTTGCCACCCTTAGCCCCCACCCTCCACCCACTGTCCCCACAGTTCTTGTGTACCAAAGGCCTTTAGTTCTCATGCACTATGCAGTCAGAAAATCCAGGCTTATTTTTTTTACTGGTTTTTTATTCTCCAGCTTTCAGTGCCAAAGAGGCCATGCTGAGTTAGGTAGGTGGGCACTGCCCAGAAAATATATTTCAATAAAAGAGAAGCAAGCTTCGGTCCCTTCCGATCTTTGCCCTTTGGGGCCTGGGTGTGGGGGTAGGAAGGGTGTGACTGGGTAGATGCGGGCCAGGGTGGAGGACCGGCTTCGGTGACATGGTGACCTATGCACAGACTTTCTCTCTCAGCCCTCCTTCCCTTTCATCCCCTCTCTGTGAGAGGTGGGCCTCTGTGTCAGAGAATGAGCGGCGGCAGAATGAGGGCGGAGGTCTGGCTCCCCTGCCTGCTCCTAAACTAAGTTGGCTTTCCACCCCCAGACTAGAAAGGAGGGGGCAGAAGGCCCCTTGGCAGTGGGGCAAGCGTGGCAGGGCGGGGCCCTTTGTGGACTCCAGAGAGACAGTGAGTTGGCGACTGCACAGACCTGCTCCACCAACCGGCAGGGAACTCAGGGTGGGTGAGGCCATAGGCGGGCGAGCAAGCTCCCAGATCAAGCCCACTTGGCCCAACTCGGTCCTCCTACCCATTCTGCACCGTCGCCGTGGGGGACCTGTTAGCCTGGGCTGTCCCGGTGCGTGTGTGAGGCGGGACCACGAGGGGACTCCTCCTCCGCGGGGGTGACAGGGACGGGGCGGACCGGAGGAGGGGCCAGGGCGTTGGGCGCGCCCCTCTCACTGCTTCCGGCGGCGGCGGGCGGTTCCGGCGCGCGCCCGGGGCGGCGGCGGGGGCGGTTGGGGTGCACGCCCGCGGGACTAGACGCCGCCGCGGCCGACATGCAGCTAACGGTGAAGGCGCTCCAGGGCCGCGAGTGCAGCCTGCAGGTAGCGTCGCCGGGTCCCCGCCGCTGGGCCGGCTAGCGCACAACCCCCTCCCCCCACCAGGCGCTGGGCAGGGCCGAGGGCGGGGATGGGCGGGCGGGCCAGCCGCACCCGGGAGGCCCGGAGAGCTGCCCTCAGCAGGGACCGCGGGCTCAACCCTCGCTCCCACCTTCGGCCCGGCCAGGTGTCGGAAGACGAGCTGGTGTCCACGCTGAAACATGTGGTCTCGGAGAAGCTGAACGTCCCCGTGCGCCAGCAGCGGCTGCTGTTCAAGGGCAAGGCCCTGGCAGGTAACTGGGACAGGAGACGCCCAGGTAGCCCCGCAGGAAGTCGGGGGACCGGGTGTCCAGGCCGAGCCAGGGTAGCAGTGTGATGGATGGGGTGGCAGCCACTTGACCCTCGGGTCGGTGGCAGAACCTCCTGAGCCAGATGCCAGAGCTCTTTGAGTCCACCCCCCACCGCTGTGGGTAGACTACATCCATCTCTTTTTGACAGATGGGAAAAGACTCTCCGATTACAGCATTGGGCCCAATTCCAAGCTCAACCTAGTGGTCAAACCTCTGGAAAAGGTGTTACTGGAAGAAAGTGCCGCCCGCAGACTGGCTGAGGCCCCACCCCCACGTCCACCGGCCTGGCAGCTGATTGCCAAAGTTTTGGCCCGCCACTTCAGTGCTGCAGATGCCAGCAGAGTCCTGGATCAGCTACAGAGGGTGAGAAGGCTAGCCTGGGCAGACCCCTCCTGCCCCAGCTGCTCCCAGCCCCTGCCCTTGTGTGCCCCCACTGGCAATCTCTGAGTCCTCCTGGCTTTCTCTCCTCAGGATTATGAGAGGTCCCTGAGCCGCCTGACCCTGGATGACATCGAACGATTAGCTAGCCGCTTCCTGCACCCCGAAGTCACTGAAGCTATGGAGAAGGGGTTCTCCAAATAGGATTCATGGAGTGTGGGGATGAGCCCGGCCAGGCTGCAAGCTGCATGTAGCATTAAATGTGTTCTCATGTTGCAATTTGGCTCATAATAATAATAGCTGGCAGGTACCCAGGTACCTGTACCCAGCTCTTGCTAGGTGCCAGGCACCATTCAAAGCACTTGAACCTGGGTTTGCTCCCGCACCTCGCACAAAAGGTGAGACAGCCGAGGCTCCTAGCAGTCAAGTGGGGGAGCCAGAATCCAAGTCCAGCCAGCTTCTAGAAGTGCCTCAGGATGAGAAGGAGAGAGGGGCTGTTCGGAAGGTTCCGAGGGATGGGCTTTGGCATTTCGTGTTTAGCCCACTGAGAATAAACCCTCAAGTGACTCCTTTCCAGACCTCTGGCAGGTCCAGCATTGGCAGGAAGCCAAGTGACAGCCAGCCCTGGGCCCCTCAGCTGCTGCAGCCAGTGTGCACTCGACGTGGGAAAAGCAGGTTGGGGAGTCGGGGATGAACGTCGCCCAGCTCTGTGGTGTGACCTCAGGCAAGTCCCTGTGCCATGTTGGTCCCCAGCCATTGACTCTGCCCACTGAGGGCCACTCCTTAAACCTCATTCAATTTCCTTCATCCTTACCCTAGCCCCGGGGGGAGGGGGTCTGCAGCAGTCCTCCCCTTTGTGTTCCATAAACAAACTGAGGCCAAAAGGCAAGCAATGGCCACCGTGGCCCAGAGATGGGGTGCCCTGGCCCTTCCTGTCACAGCTCTTTTTTGGGCACCCCCTCTGCTTCTGTCCCTCTGGACACAGGCCGTTCTTGCTCCTTAGGGATGATGGGTGGCTGGCTTGAGGTCACTGATCAATGCAGTGCCAGAGCCAGACCCCTACACCATGCACTCTCCTCTGGTGTGGAAGCGGACCCTCCCCCGCCACGTGTGCACAGGAACTTTTGACCTTGCACACCCCTCACTGCCTGAGAGGAAACCTTGGGATACCAGGGAGGGGGCAGAAGCAGAGGCTGGTGACACTGGTCCTTCCACCCTGCCTGGTGTGTGGGCCCTAGATGTCATCCAGACACCTGCTCCTTGGAGGAGGGTACCCAGGGCAGTCGAGGCTGGAAGTAAGCCATGTGCATAGGAGGACACTCCAGCCCCGCCAACCTCGCTGCGTGAGGCCCTCCTGCCTGGGCCTCATGGGTCCCTGGGCTGGGAAGACAGACTGAGGCCCAATGGGCGAAGGCTTTGAAGAGCAGACAGAAGCTCCTGGCCCCACCTGAGAGCTGGGAGCAAATGGCAGGGCCAGCTTAGGAGCCTGTGTGGTCTGACAGCTCGTGATAGACTTGCCAGTGCTCTCATTTATTTTGAGTCAGGAAGTTTATGTTGAAATTCTAAATAGCACTAAAGGTGAATGTGAGACTTTGATCCAAAAAGGACTATACTAGCTAGGCTGCTTTCGGTTTCCAATAATTGGTTTAACCATAAAGGAAATTGGTTTAAACAATAGAGGAAACTTACTGGTTTACAAAACTGAGAAGTCCAGGGGTATTGGCAACAGATGAACACTTTTACCAAATACCCAGTTTCTTCCTACCTCCCCTCTGCACTCTGCAGTGTCTGCTTCATCCCAGGCCGCCGCCTCAGGATCAAAAGATGGCTGCCTGCTGCTCCCACTGAATCCCTCATTCACAGCCAGCAAGGAGCACCTTCCAGCAAGGAGCACCTTCACACCCTGTAGTGTAGCTTCTTTCTCACACTTCTTTCCCACCTCCAGCAAATAAACGCTGTCCTCTCATTGGTCAGAACTGGGTCGTGCCTCCAATCATTTTGGCCGGGTGTGGGGCGAGCTGGGTGGTGGGACGCCAGCCCCCTGGATACCCATGGGCTGTGGGAGGGAGAGGGACAGTCTCAACAAAAGTCAGGTCCTCAGGGAAGGCTGAACGGTGGCCCCAAACAGCAGCTGTCCACTGCAGGGGAGTGGCACATGCATATTTCAGACAGACCCTAGAGGTGGTCATTGTTGAGTCTCTTGTTGCCAGTGACTCCCAGCTTGGGGGTAGCAGAGTCACCTGGTATTTAGGAGCCATCTGCTGGGCAGTTGGAAATGGGGTCAGGAACTCAGCAGGGAGACACAAGTGGAGTCTTCAGGGTGTATTATGGGAGCACTGCTGAAGGAAGTGCTGACCGGGACTCGGGCCCAGTCTGATTCCAGAGCCATCTGCAGCCTTCTACAACGATGGTTGGGAGTTATCTGTAGACAGGACATCCTAGACACTGTGACGGCAGATAAGGTGGCTTCCCAGAGAGTGCGGCATGAAGGAGGGAGGACTAGGTCTTGAGGATCAACTGGAGATGTAGAGGCCAGGAGCATCTCCAGATGAAAGGCCACAGGGAGGGCTCAGTCAGAAGTCAAGAATGCCCTTCACACAGGGGAGGTTGGTTGTCCAGTGCTGCTGAGAGGCAAAGTGAGAGAGCAGGATGGAGCCTCCTCTGTGTTAGTAACAAGAAGGTTGTCGGTGATGTTGTGGGCAAGAAGCAGTTGCAAGGGGGAGGGGAGGAGGCAGTGATAGTGACCGGGGAACCATCAATTCTGAAGCTTGTGCATGGCACAGCAGGGATAGGCAGGTGGGGAACAGAAGGTGGGAGAGGGAGGAAATGTAGCAGGTGTGAGAGATGGGATGAGTCCCGGGTGTTTAGGGGCCAGGAGGCTCTGGTCTAGGCCCTGTGTGTCCTGAAGACTAGCGACTTCACGTGAGGATGGAGCAGCCACAGGCTGCACTCTGCCTTGGCCCCTGGAGTCTGGGGATGGCCCCATGTCCACCTGCAGGCCCCACATGCTGACATCCTTCAACAGGCAGCAGAATGTTTTACTGCAAGCCCCTCGTAGCCAACTGTCCACCCAGGAGGTGGGTGCCTCCCTGTCCCCTGCCTACTGTGAGGCCCTGAGACCCATCACCTCGAGGAGGGGCCTTGAGCAGTCCTCGACCCCCAGGGATATGATGCAGCTTGCAGGCCCTGTTGTGATCACAATGACACTAGGAGAAGACAGGATAAGTGGTGGCCTCTCAGACAGAAATGGTGTGGCACCTGGACTGAGATTCTAGTGGTGCCATTTCCCAAACGCCCAGGGAGGAGGGGCAGACTCAGAATGAAAGCAGCATTTGCTTTGGGGTGGGCTTGTTGAGTTGGAAGTGGCCAAGTGACAGATTAGCTGTGCCCACAATTTGCTGGCACCTTTCAGGCCCCCCGTGCACACCTGGCCAAAACCAGGCCTTGCCAGCTCCAACAGGTCCAACAGGGGCACTGCTTAGCCAGGCCAGGTACCCCTGAAGCAGATGAAACAGCTG